TTAAGTATCTCGGGGTCTTGTTCACGAGTGAGGGTAGGAGGGATCGGGAGATCGACAGGCGGATTGGTTCGGCGTCTGCAGTGATGCGGACGCTGAGCCGATCTGTCGTGGGGAAGAGGGAGCTGAGCCAGAAAGCCAGGCTCTCGATTTACCGGTCGATCTACGTCCCAATCCTCACCTATGGTCATGAGCTTTGGGTAATGACCGAAAGAACGAGATCGCGGATACAAGCGGCCGAAATGAGTTTCCTCCGTAGGGTGGCCGGGCTCAGCCTTAGAGATAGGGTGAGGAGCTCGGACATTCGGGAAGGACTCGGAGTAGAACCGCTGCTCCTCCGGATCGAAAGGAGCCAGTTGAGGTGGTTTGGGCATCTGGTCAGGATGCCTCCTGGACGCCTCCCTGGGGAGGTGTTTCGGGCATGTCCTGCCGGCAGAAGGCCCCCGGGTCGACCCAGGACACGTTGGAGAAGTTACATCTCCAATCTGGTCCGGGAACGCCTTGGGGTCCTGCCGGAGGAGCTGGTGGACAAGGCCGGGGAGAGGACGGCCTGGAGCTCCCTAGTTGGGATGCTGCCCCCGCGACCCGGACCCGGATAAGCGGAGGAAGACGAGACGAGAGACGAGACGTCCATAATAATAAATAATCAATGATGAATAAGAGTCTGCTTCTAGACCCACAGAAAGAGAAAAACAAACAATAAAAGGGGACACACAACAATACAACAAGAGCAAGCTGCTAGGCTGCGTCAACCTAATGAGGAAATATAAAACCAACATTGTTTTACTGAACAATCACACGATAATACATCACAGTGCATTTAGTGCCAACCACAGCTATAAGACGTGTTGAAAATGCCCAAGTCCATACTTATGAGAGCACCATGTGAGCACCTGTGTGCATAACATGATGATCTTGACAAAATGTTACATAACAGTTTTTAAATGTAATCTTTTACTGTTTGGTTTATGTCTCAAATAGCTTCATTCTGGGTAATTCTTCTTGAAATAGCAAGCATCAGATTTACTGGTTAATTTGTACAAATGTTTCAGATTTCCCATAAAGCCTGATTAACTTTTTTTAACATGTTGGTTTAGGGCTGCTCGATTATGGCAAAAACCTTAATCACGATTATGGTGACTGAACTTGAGATCTCGGTTATTTAAGACGATTTTTTAATTTATGTTGATTTTATTTGTTTTTATTCAGTCATAAAATTGTTCAGGGCACAATCAGGGCAAAAATAAACAAGAAACAAGATGATCACTAAAAGAACTCCTGATTCCCAGTAAAAAAAGACCAATATACTTATAGCTCATAGTTTATGACCCAAGGGCTATAGACCTTGGTTTAACTCATTTAAGTCTAACCAGTACAGACCCAAATACCAATATCTTGCAAATACTGACAGCAACAATTATACAGTGGCATTTATAACAAATAAAAAATTGATGTTCACAAAATGTTGCATAACATTTGAGTCGTGTCAATGTCCTGTAGGAGAGTGCACTAGCACCGTGTCCTCAGAGAGGTTAGTTATTATTTATCAGTGTGAGGAACTTATTTCTACCTTATTTATAAACTATGTATTTACAAGTCCATCAGTTAATGTAATAATTGTCCCAACCACAGCTGCACCCCCCACCCCCCAACCCGGTCTCACAGCAAGCAGGGGCAAGCTGCACGTGTGTTTAGCGTGCCGCACGCGCACGTTTAGCCGTTTTTAGCGGCTCATGAGCCCGCAGGTGCGGTGTGTGTCACTCACTCTGGTTAATCCAACATGGAGCCAGCTCTGAGAGCCGTTTCTTTAGCGACTGACACATTACTACATCATTCCCTTTCCTAATGTCCTGAAGAACGGTCCGGAGTGCAGGCGGAGTGTTTAGCTAACCTGCAGGAAATGTCAACGACAGTTATCCAGAAAGTAGCTAAGGGTTACCAGAGATGTTTCTGAGGTGTTCGCTAGGTACTTTTAACATTTAAAAGGTCAAGAAGGGGGTCTGAAAAGCTGCTAGAAATAGCGTCAAAGTCGCTAAGTTGGCAACACTGTGGGAGGAGCGCTTCATTTGCAACTCAGGGCAGCGCAAGTGGGAGGAGCAAATAATCAGCTTGTTTTGTTTTTATAATCGTTCAAAACTCAGATCGTAATTGTGATTAAAATTCGATTAATTGAGCAGCCCTATGTTGGTTTATAATTTTAAACCCAGCAAAATTAATTAATGTCATGTTTTTTTTTTTATTTTGAGTAGCCCTTTTTATTTTTTCGATTAACTCAAATTTGATGAGCACTGATGAGGCAGCATCAGTTTTATCTGTACAGGAATATTTGTTTGCAAAATTTTGTGCTTTTAAACTTTGCATTCCTCCACAGTCGTCACAATCGTCTCCTTGGAGTTTATCTGCATCTGCAGTGCTGATGGGGATTTAGGGATGGATGGATGGTCTAGAGAGAGACAGGGGCAGACTAAATGAACAGACAGTGAGACAGACACTAAATGAAAGAACAATACAAAGTTTGAACTCAGAAACACACACACTCCAACACACGGGGAGCAGAAAGAAGGTCGCGAGAGGATTAATGGCTGTGCTCTGATAGATAAACTAATCAAACAAACAAAGACTTCAGCAGGCACACACATTAAAGGCAGAATGAAAAGCAGATAGACTCTTGAATAATCCAAACTAGCAAGAGTCATCAAGAGATTCTGAGGAAGAAACCCATAGAGAAGTAAGACACAAATGAATGTTTTAAACACACACATCCACTGTCGTCTGGGCTTTTATTTGTATCGAATAGAGTGTTGCCATTTTGTTCTCTAAGGCTTGTGTTAATAGACATGGATTAAGCCCTTCACAACGACATGTATTTAGGAAAGTGTGTGCAGTCTTGCAAAAATCTTGTGTCAGTCAAGTGTAAAACATTTCTAAGTATTTACTGAGGGAAAAAAGTTTTCTGGACTTTTTCTTCTTCTATGTTTGTGAGATACTGCCAGGGGTGTGGACTCGAGTCACATGACTTGGACTCGAGTCAGACTCGAGTCATTATTTTAATGACTTCTGACTTGACTTGATAAAATCTATAAAGACTTACAACTTGACTCGGACTTGAATGCCAATGACTTGCGACTTGAATCGACTTGCATCTGTTGACTTGAGCATATTTGATATTTTAGCACAAAAGTGGACACAAATCATAAATCATTCTTCGTTCTGGGTTTGATTTACTGCAAAATGCAGCAGCTCTTTGTTTATAATCAGTTTCAGTTGCACTTTCTGCTTGTTTGAGCAAATAAATGAAGCTTTAAGAAGCTTTATTGCTGGAATTTATTTATTATCATTGTCATTAAATTGAACTTGGACAGATGACTTGATTATGACTTGAAAATTCAAAGTTAAGGACTTGGACTTGACTTGGACTTCCACATCACTGACTTTGGACTCAACTTGGACTTGATTGTCTTTGACTTGGACTTGACTCGAGTCTTGACTGGAAAGACTTGTGACTTACTTATGACTTGCAAAGCAGTGACTTGGTCACGCCTTTGGATACTGCACATGTGTTCTACGTTCCTTGAGTTGTCTAAATATTGTCTAAAATAAGCATTCTATTTTCTCTGCAATTAGCTTGCATCACACATCATGATCATACAACCAGATTTGACCCTGGATGTACTTTAGCATGTTGAATAGAATATTAAAGGATAAACCTCAGGGTGTTTTAGGCGTTTACCTTTATTTGTTGTCTTTCACAGCAGTTTGGGTATGGGGGATCAAAAGCAAACCATTTATTTTAAGAAATCAATAGTGGTGATCAATATTATCGCTCTACCATTAACTCATTCACTGCCACCCGTTTCCTGATCACTAAAGGCCTTTGCTGCCAGCGTTTCTCACCGTTTTTACAGTTTTTTTAAGAGTCACAGAATGTTGCATGCAAGGCTGATGTTGATGCCAAAACAACCAAAACAAAGAGGAGACTCACCTCTTACATCAGGAAGAATCCACGTGTTTCAAGCGTTATCTGTTCTTTCATAATCTGTTGTCGAATTGTGATCGGCAGACGTTTTTCCGGTTCGCGCCTCACTTTTTTTTACAGGAATGGCCAAAAACGATCTCCTAATACATGGATGTTCTGCTTCCTGATCACGTGACGTGTGACGTATGTGTATGACGATCGGCTTCAGGGCTGAGATGTTTGTTCTCTCAGCGCGGGGGCTCGTTCCGATGTTCAAACAGTAAAAAAAATGCAAATGACGACTTTAGTCGTCAATGGCAGTGAATGAGTTAATATCGGCCGTTATCAGCATTCAAATTTAATATCATATCGGTTTTCAGTCTTTTAACATTTACATATCGTACACATATTATGCATCAAACTTTTCAGCTACATCTGTCTCAAAAAGTCAAAATACAACAGATCTGAAGTACAGTTTTTGAGATATAGTTTCAGATTTATATTTTTGGCATAACTTGTGTGGTAGAAATTTGTCCTGTAGCGATCATGCGAACGTTTCCTCACTGCTAGGCCACTAAAACTAAAAAACAAGAAGTCTCACCCAAGGCTTGCTTTTCCCATCTAAAAATGTTTATAAATGTTTTTCACCGTAGCTGCAATATATAGAAAAAGAAAAAGAAACGTTACGAACCAAGAAACACATCTTAGTGTCATGCTTAGGGAGAACTAGATTCAGCTGCTGTTGGAGACAGAATAAGAATAGGATTTTTCTATTAATAACTTAATAAATTGAATTGTCATTTTACACAGAAAATGTTTAAAATGTAAGCACGATAGGAGATATGTGATGTTAGCAACCTAAAATGTTTTAGTTTTTTCATCATAGTTTTATCAGATATTAAGAGACATCAAGTTTGGTATATCAGATATCAGTAAAAAAAAAAGCCAGTATTTAGCATTCCTAGAGATCAAACATGCACTATGTTTCCAAAGTGACTAATTGTTGTCTTTGCTTTATAATTGTATGTTCAACTGCACGTTTGTGTAGTCTGATCAGAGTGGTGGAGATCCCAGGAGACGACAGTCCACTGGGGATCCATGTGGTTCCCTACTGCTCTTCACTTAGTGGACGGTGAGTTCAAAAATGCATTCACACATTTAGTCATGCCACATCTGTTAAACCCAATTCTAGCTTCCCTGGTTATGCTCAATGCTAACCTGGGCTAGACTGACACAAAATGACTAAAATTGAAGAATGACACAACTAATTGAAATATTGATTGGTTGTTTCTGATGCAAGAGCTTTTCACTCAGTGAGGGGTTTTCATTTCCAATATTCTATCTCACTCTCTTTAAGGTCCCTTGGTTTGTATATTCGTGATGTGGAAGAAGAGAGCCGTTCAAGAAAGGAAGGCTTGTTTCTAGAGAATGAGTGCATTGTGAAAATCAACAACATCGACCTCATGGACAAGACATTTAGTCAGTGAGTACCGCTCAGTTCATCTGTTGTATTTCATTAGAAGAAATGAGGTGATGAAAAGCCATCTCAGGGAGATTGGCGAACAAAATGTGATAGGTGGTCCAAAAAATAATCAGAAATCTTAACATCTTTGGATTTTTGTTATATTTTTTTATGTTTGATGGGTACATTTTGACTTCAGAACTGTGGACAGTCAGTTAATAAGTTGGTAGTTAGCACACTGAATAACTTATTTGTAGACTTGAGTTATGTAAGGTTTTTGTATTAGAAACAGTTCATTCAAATTAGGTAAAAACCTTTAAAAATATTAAAATATTTACTATTTTGATACTTTGATATTTATGTGTAGACTTTAAAGGCCAAACAGTAGTCTTGTCCAGTACTAAAGGTGCATTATGTAGAAAAGAAGTAAAAATGACATCCTGTGGTGAAATTTGGTTACTGAATCCCCTTTAAACAACTCTGGAGCTTTTTACCGGCCGTTGTCAAATTACAATTGTCGGTGCTGCAGTATTAGCTTGCAGGAGGCATGGCGACCCCACACTCACTGATGGTAAACACTAGTCACGTTCATCCTTCCTTTGTTTTGAAAGGAGAAAAACTGACAATCCCCACATATTAAATATGTTTCAGTATATCCTTCCTTCCAAAATGACTGAAACATTAGACTCTTTTGGTATTTTCTCACTTAAAATTCTTACTATATTCTTACATACTGCACCTTCAAGTGCGTAAATGAGATTGCACATGAAATCCATTGTTTGTCCTTAGTGTCTTTTTCAAAGGCACCAGACAACACAGACATGCACTGATTCACCCCTACATATTCAATTTTAAAACCATATCCATGTACAAGTGAAAAAATAAAGATAATTTTCTATTACAATAAAACAAGCAAAGCTTGGGATTCAAACCATCACTTATTAGTAATGAGTACACATAGAAAATGAAGATTGTTTCATTATGTCTGGTCTATAGCAAGTGCAGTTTGATCCAATGAGATGTTTGCGAGTAGAGCATTGAGCATCCACTCATCCCTTTAAATCCAAAGTGCACACATAAACCCAAGCACACACACACAAAGCGTGTCATTGTCCCTGCTAGGTTGCTGTGTCAAGGAAGTCTGCTTGATTAGAAAATGTTTTTCACACAAACGTGGCTTCGCAAGTCGTCCAATCGGTGACAATGATGATATCATCTCTACATAGTGGTCTCTGAATGCCCAGTATATCAAAACACACAGCTTTCATATCTGGTTTCATTGTCCTGTATTGTGCAGTTAATACAATGTAAATCACTTCAAGTGCCATTGTTCAGAAAGGAGTGACACTAACGCCCGCTTGGACTGCCTACTGTGTTGAATGGTTTCTCAATATAAGTGCTGTCTCAGGAAAATGAAAAGGAGATGAACACCCATCCGCCCACACAACCACAATCCAACCTCTGCCAATGTGTCAGGGGTTATTATAATAAGTTAGGTTTTAACTCTTTCTGACATCTCATGTTCAAAATTCTGTTTGGAAATCTTAATTACTTAATGGATAATAAAGTCGATTAAATGTGTTTCACTATATAAATACATTAGCGTTAAGGGAAATCTGATTTCTGTTCAGTAAGTGTGTTTGGAGTAGTTCATCAAATTATTTACCCAGTTTTAAAGTTTTCAAAGTTTTTGAAGTTTATCAAAACAACTGCAGGTTAGGGCTGCAAGATGGTGCAGTTGGTGACTCTCTTCCCTCGGTGCGAGAAGGTCACAGGTTCAAATCTCGACTGCTTCCCTCTGTGTAGTTTTCATAGTCTCCCAATGCATTTGTGGGTTTTCTCAGAGTAATCTGGGATCCTGCAAAGGTTGAAAACATGCATCTTAGGCTGATTTGTGTCTCTAAATTGTCCCTAAGTGTGCATGAGTGTGTGAATGATTGTGTGTCCTGTCTCTCCTCTGCTTTCCACTGGAAGTGTAAGCATCACCCAACGTCTGCAAAGCATAGTTGTAGTCGCTTGGTTTCAGTTGCATGACCCTGTGTTGTGTTTGTACCTGAACTGTTCCGCTCTGATCAGGACCTACACTGTCCTACATGATAGCGGCTTCTCTAATTATTGACACTTTTTATTATTATTTTATCATAATTATATTCTTACTTCCTATGTTTGCTTATTTCTTATCTTTATCTTTCTTTTTAGCTCCGAGTACCTCACCTAATGTTGTGATTTCTCACACACGGCAAAAAAACCCTTCTGATTCTGGTTCTGGTTCAACAGGTGTGTGTCCACCAGCCGCGGAATGGCTCGTCTTGGACACATTCCAGAAGTGTAGAGTTGCAACGTTCCAATAAATTTACGCTTCAAGCTTAGTTTGTACGCACTACGCTTCCAGAACACGTCCAGGTCAGCAGTAGAGATTGGGCCAGACGAGAAGTCAAACAAGAGACCAGTGTATAACACCCGGCATCTTTCTAAATGAAAGGCACTTGCAGATTTCTTGTGTACCTCTGTAGCCGAGGTACACTGAACAGAAAACAAACCACAGACCTTTTTAGATACATGCTGCCGTCTTTCTCCTTTCATGGTATTGTATGAACTTGCATAATCATGCGTGGTCTTACAGTTGTGCTGTGATCTTTGACAAGCTGTGGTTCAAAGTTTTTGCTACCAATTTACTTCTAAATCGCTCCTGGTTGGAAGTGATGCCCTGCTGAGCTCTGTGAAAAAAACGTGTCTATTATGTTACGCGCTGCTTACGCATCCGGTGGAAACCCCGGGTCTTTGTGGCCCGGTGATGGACTGGTGACATGTACTGTCGTCTCCCACCTCGACTACTGCAATGCCCTTCTAACTGGTCTTCCAGGCTGTACTGTGAGACCTCTTCAAATGATCCAGAACGCAGCGGTGCGTCTGGTCTTCAATCAGCCTAAAAGAGCACACGTCACCCCTCTGTTCATTGAGCTCCACTGGCTACCGCTAGCAGCACGCATGAAATTCAAATTGCTAACACTAGCGTACAAAGTCCGAGACGGTACGGCTCCCATCTACCTGAATCCTCTTGCAAAGGCTTACGTCTCGGCCCGGCCGCTCCGGTCATCACAGAATTGTCGGCTAGCAGTGCCTACACCACGCTCAGGACAATCCAGACTCTTCTCATGCATCGTTCCATAAATGTGGAATGACCTTCCAAGCACTACCAGAACAGCGGCTTCCTTTTCAATTTTCAAGAAACTCCTGAAGACCCTGCTCTTCAGAGAGCATCTTCTTAACTAGCACCCTCCCTGCACCCGTCCCCACCTCTTTACTGTCCACTCCTTGTTCCCTACTCTCCATGACTGATGTCAAGTTGTTGTTGTTATTGTTGTTGTTAGCCTCAAGGGCAACATGCCGATTATCACTTGTAAGTCGCTTTGAACAAAAGCGTCTGCTAAATACATAAACATAAACATGTCCAGGGTGTCCAATACCTTTGTCCCTATGGCTGCTGGAGATGACACCCTTCTACCCTACTAAAGATTGACTGGTTAAGCAGATGAGTGAGGGAACTGCTTGTTTAGTCTTCACTTTCTGAACATGGTCAAGTTCTAACATCATAACTGCTCTATAAATCATCCTGGTAGAAAACAATAGGCTGAAATCAAATTTAAACAAACTAGATTTGATCTATTTGTTATCTTGGGCTGACTAACGGCGATTATCAATTACTTCTGACATAGTGAACCTTCTAATTTACTTAGTGCAATCAGATTTGCTGCTACATTAACATTTTAAATAGTTTTCAAAGCCTTGTGTGCAGGTGTTATGGGGTTTAGTTTCCTGTTTGCTCTCATCATTAGCTGACTAGAAACAAAGATAGAAGCCAGCCAACTCTTAATGAAGAAAAAGTGTCAGGAAGAGACAGTTTATGAGAATAAATCATCTTTAGATTTGCTGCAGTGAATTGCAGTTTTTAGAAATCAAGTTTGTTTTTAGTATAATTACCAAACAAATGGCATATGTTTAAACTTAGTCATTTGCAATCAGATCTATAATGCTTATCTCTATTTATCTTCTAATTGGGTTTCACGCCCTTGACAGTATAATGAATTTTCTTGAATAATATTACAAATGGTTTCCATGTGTAGAATGCATAATTCACTGAAGACATTTTACCCAGTTATTGAACTAAACGTTCTTCTGTTTTTTTATCCATACACGTTCCTGACAGTCTATCTCCCTGTCTTTTTTTTGTTTTTTTTCTCTCCCTCACCAGATCTCAGGACGTCTTTCGTCAGGCGATGCGTTCTCCACTTGTTCGTTTGGAAGTACTCCCTTCCTTCAGCAGAGAAAAATATGAGAAGTTTCTGATTGGTCAACTGTTTGGCAGCAGTACTGGTGTCAATGGCAGCCCTCGTACAGCCAAGGCCAAAGACCCACCTCCACCTGTCAAAGCCAAACCGGATTTTAAGCCCCCTGAGAATCAAACTGCTCGACTTACAGAAGAAGCTCTTGTTCCTGAAGCTGTTTCTGTAAGTTCCTTTTTATTTTGCAAATCCTTTAGCCATTTGACCAACTTGCCAAAGGAAACCCTATCAGGACCAACGTGCGATGGCTCCCAGAATTCATTATGGTGCAATTTAGCCTTTTGCATGTACTGTTCTTGTATGTGGAAACCATAACTGGTGTAAAAGTTGAAAACTCACTTTAAATGTGCTTGAAATTAGGGATGCACGATATATCGGAGTCAACATTATTATTAGCCAATGCTTTTCATTTTTTAACATAGCATTATTGGACCAATAAGTAAAATTGGGGGGGGTGGGGGGTGGATTGGGGGGTTAAACCAAAAATGTTCCCCTAGCGTAGCCAAAGCTGCAGCTCACCGCTCCTCATTGGAAATCTTTGGTCGTGTGACAGTACTGTTAACAGCAATATTAATATTAGATATTGATATCTGCCCAGATGTTCATATTGGTGCATCCCTAATAGAATTAAATCATTTTTTTATTTTATTTAACCTTTATTTCACCAGATGAGTCGATTGAGAACTCATTCTCATTTACAATGACGATCTGGCCAAGAGGCAGCGGCAACAGACACATAGTTAGCTTTACATCAAAGAAAAACAGATGAGATCAAAACAAACAAGATAAAATAAGATCAAACAATTAGACATTAAGACAAAGTACTGTTCTCATATTTAATATGGACAAGCAATCAAAACAGACCTAAAACAGTCTTTTAAGTCCTCAGAAACAAGCACATTGATCAGAAAGTATTGATTGCAATGAATTATTGAAGGCAGATAAAGGAATGTAGGTAGTGAGCTTTAGTGATTTTTGCAGCTCATTCCAGTCATTGAGAGCAGCAAACTGGAATGAGGAGCGGCCAAAGGAGGTGCGAGCTTTGGGAATAACCAAAGCTGAAAGTGAAAGTGCTTTACTTAAAGGGTTACTAAGCAGGTTGGCTTGCTTTTAGCAACCACAAATGTTCTGTGGTCATAGCAATATTGAAACTCATCTCCCCGCTGTGCGTTAGTCTTTTTAACACCTTAGTGTACTCGCTGAAATGTCTCCTCAGCCTTCATTTCTTTCTAAAGGAGCGATTAATCACTAAATCAAACAAATCAGCTGTGTTCACAATCTAAAACATGCAGGAAACATGCTGGAAGCAGACTCCAGCTCCACCATGTCAGCTCCACTCCTCCCCACAGCTCCCTCCACCAACAGGGAGTGGCCCGGAAACTCTGAAGTTGCAAGTGTGGTATTCTGGCCACAGGGGATGGTGGGGTCAGAGGGACATTTCATTAACCCTGTAAAGCAGGGGTGTCCAACTCCAGTCCTCGAGGGCCAGTATCCTGCATCTTTTTGTTGTTTCCCTGTTCCAACGCAGTTGATTCACCTGTGCAGCGCTCATCAGGCTCTCCAGAAGCCTGTTAATCACCTGCTGATTGAAATCAGGTGTGTTGATGCAGGGAAAACATTAAAACGTGGGGTGGTGGCCCTCGAGGACTGGAGTTTGACGCCTGTATGGAAAGGGTAAGTTTGGCACATACTGGCTCAAGAAAATGATCTAAAAATATGAAAAAGTTGCATTATGTCTCTTGAAAGTTGGCAAAGATGCAAGAATCCTGTAATCAATAATTTGACACTACAAAAACGCCACGATTACACGCAGCGCTGTGTGTTCATTATTTGGCTCGTACAGCTCTTCTCACTTTACGAAACCATCGAGAACAACAAACATTATTTTTATCTTGTGTCCACTTCCTTCCTACAACTATCAAGTCTTAAAACCAAACACACATAGCTGTGTCGTTAGCATCACCATGGTTACACGGCTGACATTTGAAAAACAACTGGCTTGGAAGGAACAGTTTCTTAGCAACAGCTTATTATCTTAGTTTATTAAAATAAAAGTTGGTGGGTCATGCTCTAAGTCTGAACACTTTGCAGATATATGTTTTATCTAAATAGTGTTTACAGTGTAAACAGGGACTATATTACTGATGAATATTAATGTTTAGCAGTACTTACATATTGTCCTTTACTCAAAGCATCTGATTTAAATACATGTTGATTCAGTTTAAATGTCCTGTGTGTATTTCATGTAGCCTTCTGTGGGGAAAAGTGAAAGCCCCCTCCTCACGAAAAGCCCCACGCTCTCTGGCTTGGTGTCCAACAAGAAAGGAGGACGAAGGCTACGGATTGATTTAAAGAAAGGTGGGAATCACTGGAGTTAACAACAGAGCCTCAGTCACAGCATACAGAACTGCAACCAGCAAATATATCATCCACCTGTACCCAGACTTCCATTTTCCTTTTTGTTTTTAAATAATGTTGCTTGTGAGAATTTAAAAACAGCCAATCAGAATGTTTAGTCTGCTCACTGGTCTGATGCGTGCTTCATCAGTTCATCTGAACTCGTTCCTATTCCCCTTCTCTGTTCTTTGACTAAGTTGCTTCTCCCTCTCCTCAATCTTCCTTATCCATTCTCTTCAGGGTCTATTAAGTCTTTATTGATCTGTTCATTTCTGCTGATATGAATTCATACCGGACCAAAGTGCTGACTTGGCGCTGCTAAAGAGACCAGACTTAATGAGGTCTATAAAACACAACCTCTCCCTCCGTCTCTGTGCGTATGGGCCTTTTTGTACTCACACACACACACACACACACACACACACACACACACACACACACACACACACAGACACACACACACACACACACACACACACACACACACACACACACACACACGAGTATGAGCGCTGTATACAGAATTATGTGTGCACATATTTTCTCTGATGAAGCTTTTCGTCTTCGTCTCTCTTTTTTCCGGAACATTCACTCCCTGCTTCCATCATTTAGCAATCATTCCACTCGTTCTCTCTTTCCCTCGTTTTCCTGGTTTTGCCCTTTGAGCTGCCCCTGAGCTCCGACTTTAAATTCCTTTTTACCTTTAAATGTGCAGATATTTTAGCTGTAACTGTTGCTAAAGAGTTGAGACTAGCTCACTGTGTGCGAGTGTGTGTTTGCAGGAAGCTGGAATCCAGTCAAACATAAATGCAGCGTTTTAGAATAAACAGTTCTGCTTTTTGCTTGTGTTTGTTTATGTGCGTCCAGGTTCAGAAGGTCTTGGGTTTACCGTGGTAACCAGAGATTCTTCAGTGCATGGTCCAGGCCCTATTCTGGTCAAAAACATTCTGCCACGTGGAGCTGCTGTCAAGGATGGTCGACTTCAGTCGGGAGACCGCATCCTAGAGGTGCAGGACTACTATTCTTGAGATTGTTTAGTAAAAATTAAAAAAATGCAGTTGGTGTTTTATGTGTGTGTGTGTGTTGTCTGTGTGTGCGTAGGTAAATGGTGTGGATATCACAGGGGTGGGCCAGGAGGAGTTGGTGTGCATGCTCCGCAGCACTCGTCAAGGAGAGACTGTGTCTCTGGTGGTCTTAAGACAGGAAGACATGTTCCTCCCCAGAGAAATGGTAAGAACAACATGGAACTGAGAGTCAACAAAGCAAGAGCTTCTCATAGGTGGGGAAGTCATTGTTCATGTTGGGAAACTTCTTATTAATTCAAAGCTATTTTGGTAAAATTGCATCCCAGTTGAGATGATGATCGGCTCAGGAAATTCCTTTTGACCTTAACTTCAATTGTCAAGCATTGGTCAAATTGACCCGAAAGCACACTCTTCTGTGTGTTTTTTAACAAGATTCTTTTCTGACTAATCCAGCAAACACGGTAAAGGTTTAAAAGATGTTTTATGCAAGTGTTCCCTTGATGCTTTGTGCTGAATTTCACCTCAGCTGTTCTCAATAAACACATTTTATCTTCACTGATTCCTATTTTTCCTGCTTTTTTACATAGATGAAGTCTTCAGTGGTACATCCTTTCTATTACAACTGTTTTCTGACTTTACATGATTAACAATAGCGCATGTACTAATTGCCTTATGTTGTTGTTATTTTCCAAAATTCTGCTTCATACAGAAGTTAGTTTTTACCACAATAAAATTCTGTTTTTATCTGCTTCGAAATGTCGTCCTCTTTTCTGTGTCTTAGGCCTAGTCCACACGTAGCCGGGTTTTTTTAAAAACGAATATCCGCCCCTCCAAAAACTTGCATCCACACCACCTCGTTTAAAAAAAAAAACTCTGTCCACATGTACCCGGATAAATACGTTGTTAAGGACATGCCAGACCTGTAGGCAGCAGTACTTCCCCCGTTCTTAACCTCGTCCTTCGTCTGTGGTCTTCCGCAAGGAGCAGTAATTCCGCTTGCAAAAACAAACAAGCAGAAAGCGCTTGGACAGTTGATAAAGCGAGCGCAGCTCTGAGGGCATCCATGCTGTCGGCTAGTGTAAACACAGGTCGCACACGTGATGTCAGCATTTTTTGTCGTGGAAAGTGACGTTGCGGACCTTAAAACTCCGGTTTTGTCCGTCCACACGCAGACACCCAAAACGGAGAAAACACAGATCTTCACTTTGGCCGGAGTTTTTAAAAAGATCCGTTTTCGTGTGAAAAAACTCCGTTTTCGTGTGGATTTCAGGCCAAAACGTAGAAAAATATCTACGTTTTGGCAGATCCCCGGCTACGTGTGGACAGGACCTTAGTTTTATTGAAATTTGGCTTGTCTTTCTTTCATGTATCTACACTTGCATAAAATAATAAAGAATAAGAGGCCATATTTATGCTTTAGAGCAGTGGTTCCCAAACTTATTTAGCCGCGCACCCCTTTCTATGTCCCGACCATGTATATATATATATATATATATATATATATCAGATGTCAAGCTGAACAGACAGGGTTAAAAAAAATTCCCCATCACTTTCATTTTTTTAAATAGTGATTAATAAACATTCGATACCATTACAATTTCCTTTGATTTCATTTTAAATAAATATTTAGAGTGCCCAGGTAGCACATCAACAATGCAATTTAACGGTTTTCTTAAAGTAGGAACGTTTAACCTGTGCGGCCAGAGCGCTCTCCTTCCTTCTGCTCTGCATAAACCTGAGCTGATCACCTACTTGTGTGTAATCAAATGTCAAAAGGGGACAAGATATAGCCATGAGGTTCACTTTTACCTCAGACCGACTTATTGCTGTTTTATGGAGTGGCTGAATCTGCGATCCGCTGCCACGCGGACTGGAATAACAAATGCTGCAGTAACAGGACTTGTGGTCAGGTTCATGAGGAGTCACTGGCTGGAGCGGACCCGACTCATCCCAGAAGCTAATATCTTAATTTGACCTTGAATGAAAAATAGCCTCTTAAAAGTTTTTATCACGGTGGAGGCAGCGTTCATTTCTGCCTTCAGTCTGACGGCTCGCCGGAGTTAAAGCAGCATGCGCGCTTATTGAATCTGTGTGTGTGTATGCGCGCGGCACCGCCGCTCAAGTCACCGCGTCTCGTTATTGGCGCTATTTAAACCAGTGTTGTAAAATGACTTCTGCCCAGCCCAGATGTGCTCACTTGTGCACCCGTGAGCCGTGGTTCCGCTGGAACGCGTCTGACCTCTGACAGACGCACTCTGAACTTCAGATCTTCAGCGCGCTGTTAATAGTCTGAATGGGAATCATTTCTTGTTATTTAGTTACATCCACAATGTTCTGTGTGTGAGGCTTACAATGTCAGAACACCTGCATGAGACAGGTGTTAATTACAATCTGCCAGAATGACTCGCCACCTTCAGATTGCTCCAACACCGTTAAAAATGATCAAATACGGAACATGTCGGCGTGCGCAGGCCAGAGTGCTGAAGCTCGGCGCATTGTTATTATGAAGCTAGGGCACATGCGGAGGACACACACGCAAAAATATACTTGTTTTCAATTACATTTATTGGGCTCACTTTTTCTCAGGCCCACCTACAAATGAGTTTCTACGATAATGGTGACATATGACAGACTTCTCTGAGCTCCGCAGCCATTACACTTTTCACCTCGCGCACCCCCTAGCGGCAGCTCGCGCACCCCCTAGCGGCAGCTCGCGCGCACCACACTTTGGGAATCCCTGCTTTAGAGGAATGGTTTTTGTCCATTTCCCTACCCATTTCCTACGTCTGGCTGTGTCTTATTCTCTTTTATGTTGCAACTCTTCCCTTTGTGTCTCTTTCCTCTCTCGTCGACTGACGTTTCCCCAGCCAGTGCCAGGCTGCCTCAATCCAACGTGTTCCCGTGTCCCTCAGCACCTTAACAAATTCTGTTTCTGCAGACGGGAAGTGGGAAAGGTGGTGGATGTGTCTGCATGCGTTAACATTTAGGATATTAGATATTAGATTTCAGTCTTTACACACGTCTGAACTTCTATGATGTCTTCAGTGCAAGTGCCAATGAAACATTCTTTAATAAAAATTGTATTCTGACTTAAGCAAAACATTTTTAAAGCATGCCTTTAGCGTGCAAACCACTAATGGTTTAGACTACACCCAGTCAGGAAGTATGACTCCCATCCATGCTATGTTATTCCTTTTGAAGCTCTTGCAGAATAAAATGACTTTTGTTCCTTTTGCATACAAAAAATCACAATGTGTCCCACAGGTAAAGTGGTGTTCTGAGTTCCACTCGTCTATTTTAAAAACGCTGCCTGAATCACCCTAAGATCCAAGGGCACTGCTCTTATCTGTTCTCATGTTGGCTCATATGCTCGTGGCAAGGTGCCAAAGCATTCATGAACATTTGGAACATTTAGCTTGCTCAGGGCTTTTACTATGTGGGATTAATCCTTTTATGTGATTATATTTAGTAAGAAGAGCTATTTTTCATTGGCGTTGGTATTTAACTTTGACACAAATCCTTTAGTTTTTAAGATACTTTATTAAGTAGGAAAGGTTTATTTGTATTGCACCTATCACAGATAAGATCACAAAGTTTTCACGAAGACATAAAGATTAAAACACGATTAAAAGATAATTAATAACAATTGATTAAAGATCATTAAAACAAAAAAATTCATAAAAAGAAAAGATTGTTAAAAACAAGAAACAAGTCATGAAACAAATGAATAAAGATCATTAAAAAGAAAAAAAAGGAATGAAGTGATAAAGTTAAATTAACAATAAGTAAAGATCCTTAAAAATGATAAAAACATTAAAGATCATTAAAACAAAAAAGGAAAAAATATTAAAGCTCATTAAAAATAAAGAGTTTTTAAAAATTGGCATTTATGTGAAAAAAAATTTGTAACAACTACTAAATTTGAACCTGGTTACTCATCTTTGGACCTATTAGACATTTACATGAATAAAGTAACATTTTTCAACAGAATGAGGAGAAAAACTTTATTTGTGCCATATTTGTTTTTAGAAACAAATCCAAAGCAGAAAGGAAAGTTGTGTATCATTTAGAATTTTAATGTTGTTTCTGAGTTGCCGTTTCTGTTTATTACAAATAACAAAACAGTTCAGAGAATTTCCTAAAAGGTTCCAAAGTAAAGTTTTATATGATTTTCTGCTTTCTTGGCAGTTATGGCTGTAAGTTTGTGTTTATATGGGGAAACAGAAGAAAAATGATGAGAAAATGATGAAATGATCTTGGTTATCTCCTCCTCCCCCTCTTCCGTTGCCTCTTTTTAGCCTACCATCTGGTGTTGTCTGCTAATGTGTGTGTGTGTGTGTGTGTGTGTTCGCTGCAGAACAAAGACATTACACCACCTCTACATGCACACAGGCTCATACTTGGTTGCTCTTCCGTGACTTACAACATATTCATACGCAACCCAGAACATAGTATGACTACATCCTGCTGTGTCTGCTCCCTGATACACAAACGCATCACACACTCAGTTACTCAGTGTGAGACATGTTTTTTTCTTCTAGTGGTTTTCTTTATGCAGGAGTGAAGTTTTGAACCTGATGTTTGAGACGAAGCTGCTCTTTTCTGCTCTCAGATAGTTCAAACATGCGTTTCCAGTTTGCTCCTTTCATCCTTTTATTTCCTTTGTTTTATATCCAGACGTGGCTGCCTTTACGTACACTACGCATAGGAAAGTGGTGTGTTAAATAATGAATAATAATGATTAAATATTTATACATTTTAATAAATCAACAATAGATTGAGTTTGTGTGTAATTGTTAATGTGAAGTGTGATTCCATTGTGGAGTCCATGCCAGCCAGACTGGAGGTCTCCTTGTTTGTTTCAGTGAAAGAGGTCTTTTATTGCCTGATGTTCTTCACAAAAACAATTAATAGCTTTAAATTAGTAAAACGTAAGCAACTGGTGGCAGGGCGAGCTTGAAACAAAACACCATCAAACTGTTTCTGTTTTTCAGATTGTAGCTCATCCATCACTTCAGCAGCCATTCGGTGCTCTGGTGCTCTTCTTCCTCTCACTCAGTCTGTTGTGTGTGTGTGTGTGTGTGTGTGTGTGTGTGTGTGTGTGTGTGTGTGTGTGTGTGTGTCTTTCTGTGAGTGCGCATGCATCTTACTGATATTGTCACCAGTGTGACCTTACAGAGTCACTACAGTAGATCCCCCATCTGTTACACCACTCAGAACCCTGTTTACACACACACACACACACACACACACACACACACACACACACACACACACACACACACACACACACACACACACACACACACTCCTTGGCAGCTTGGTGTCTCTGCCATCATCCCAGTGGAGAGCAGTCAGAAGGGTATCACGTCTCTCTTCTCTGCTTTTCCAACTATTCTCACATCTGCTGCTTATAAAGATCTTTCACTTCCTTTTTCCTGTTATTGTCCAACATTGGTGTTACTAATGATCACGAATGTCAGGCTTGGCTCAACAACAGAAATCAACAGGAGCACAAACACTGTAGTGCTCTTGCCGACAAAGTATTTGCTTTGCTTTTGCACGTGCCAATGTTTTTGTTTGAAGACACAATTCTTACACAAAGGAAGATACATCCCACACTCCATGTGCTAAATACAAAACTGCTTCAATCGGCAAAGACTCTAAAGATGTGCACTGAAGGGAAAGGGTTTACTCAAGTCAGCATCATGATATGTTGAGCAGTTCACCTCGATGATGATAAATAAACATCAGTCAATGGAAATCAGCCATTCTAACACAATAGGTCTTAATGACATCAATGACTCATCATAGGGTAGGGAGGGGGGTAGTCATAGGAAGTTTCATCATGTTTAAAAAAAAAGGCAGACAGCTACAGCAGCTGTAGCTACATCATAGCTCATCCCCACCAGTGTGTGAATGTGTGAATGACTGATTGTGTTGTAAAGCACCTGGGGGGGGGGGGGGGGGGGGGGGGGGGTCCAGGACTCTAGAAAGCGCTATACCAAATACAGGCCATTACAGTTCATAAGCACGACTCCCAAATTCAAATCAGAATTAGAAAAGCACAATCCAGTCTGGAGCTTAGCATCTTAAAGGAACATGATCACTGGCAACACATCATTTCATGTTTTTAAATGTTGGTATATCGGCCATCTATAATGCAAAGGTATAGTCCAAAGTGTCAGGTTTCATTTCTATGACTATTTTGCTAAGCACAGCCTCTTCCACACATTATCAGTCTAAACCAGGGGTGTCAAACTCATTTTAGCTCAGGGGCCACATTGAGGGAAATCTAGTCCCAAGTGGGCTGGACCGGTAAATTAAAAACAACTTCAGATTGTTTCCTTTGTTTTAATACAATCAATATAAAACAAAGCTGGAGTCTGAGGACAGTGTAGTACAAGTACAACACCTGAAGTGTACTTGAAAATTTGAAGAAAAAAAATCAACAAATTAAAAAAACATTCCTTAGTGATTCAAAGAGCTTACTGATCACATGGCTAGATCAGTTTCATGCAGCACTTAAAGTATATTCGACTCATTTTACTTTACATCTTTTAGCTTTCACCAGCACATCAATATCAGAAGTCACATCCTGAGTGGCGGCCAACTTCAGGATGTGATTCAAGTTCTTGTGTGAGCCTTGAGTGCAGCTTTGTTTTATTTATACTCATTACAGAGAAAACTTGCTCACAAAGATACGTTTATTTTCACTCTACATTGTAAAGTATGAAAATAAAGTTTACACACCCATCTCGCGGGCCGGATTTAACCGATCTGGCCCGCGGGCCGGATATTTGACACCCCTGGTCTAAACATTAAAATGCACACGGTGTCAGTGGATGTTTCCACAAGTTTGTGTCTCTCAGTGCAAAGCAAAGAATGTGTTTAGGTACGCCCCTTGTGTTATTCAGCTAACCACATTTACATTCATTATTCTTCTTTTCCCATTGCGATCTGGTTTTTCTATACGTCTCTTCCTCTCTTTGCCTCACACTTCATTTCTCCTGTAGAGGTGATGTAGGTGAAGTCGTTGAGTGTTCTCGCTCATTTTCACATAATGCGTCTTTCCATCACTCTCTCCCTCGCGTTCTCCAGCTCCGTTTAATAAAACTCACTCACCAACTGAGCTGTCTTTTTGATAGCGTGTCCTCCTGTTGATCCATCATTGTGGCAACCCATTTAAATGTTAAACGACCTGCATGGGAAGGTTCCTCTATGCAAACGGCTTTTTCTGTCTCTGGGTGGATTTGATGAAGTTAATGTAGCAAAGAATCAAACACCTTTTATAACCGCAAATGGAAACCAACACATAGAGGCTCGTTGCAGGCTTTTTTTTTAAAGCACCAGACATAAATGTCAATCTTTCACAGCAATAAGGCTAAGATGATATAAAAGTGATGCACTGCCCTGTGAAGGAATGAGTTTAAACCAAGTTCTGCTATCATGAAAAGCAACACAGACCTTTTAGGTTTGGTATTACATGATCGTGAAGTTGTGCTGATTTATTATTAGGAAGTTTCACTTGCATTTGCTTATTTATGTCTGATTAAATAAAAAAAAACTGAACATTTCTGACCCTTGTCTGAAAAATGCTGATTCAAACTGTTAGACATTGAAACACCCATCCTCTAATTTACATTTACTCTGGCATTAATTCCCCATTGTGCTGAATCTAAGGAAATTAAATCATAACTCTAGAAGGAAGGTGAATAAGATAACACGAAACATAGGAGTGGCTGGAAGCTCACATTGTTCCTAAATGAGGTCTGAGGAAAAATAAATTCTATTGTGATCATGAGTTGCCAATATTTCTCTAACCAAGGGTTTATAAGTTGTTTCCAAGGTCAGGGAGCTTCCTATCAGGTCTGGACAGTCAGTTTGATGGGGAGAGTATTTTTTATCCAGCAGGGAAAACAGTTTTCTGCAGAGCAGAGGACTTTGTGTCGGCTTAACGCTGTTAAACCTACAATCCCTTCAGACAGACAGAGTCTAAACCGAACGCTGCTGACTCGCATGCACACACACACACACTGATAGCAACACACAACCACAGAATGTGAAGCCAATATAAATACTGCATCCAAATAATTTTTGATGGTAACCGGAAAACTTACATACACTTTTGCATTCATTATAAGAGACTATCTGGATACCATGGTATTTTTTTGTGATATTATTTTTGTTTTTGTAATTTTAAGGATTTTTCTATTGGAATGTTAGTTATATTTCTAAATGTTCTCTATTTTATTTTCTCATTCAATATGTGATTCATTTTTTTAAAAAGTTCAAATATCTCATTTAAGGATAATAAAATCCATGACAGGTGTTTTAATTTATTGATTTTTTTGGCTTTTAAACCTTGTCTTAACATTTCAAAAAAAAATTTCAAATGACATTTCAGAAAGTTATGAAATGTTTGAAACACGAAAGGTGCTATGCGGGTAAAACATTAAAAATGAACATTAAAAAAATAAAGTCTCACTGTTATAATAATTCTATAAGATATATTTCAAGAAAAAACACATAAAAGAGGTATGATCATTAAGCCCATGTTGCTTTAAACCACAGGTGCCAAAGTCAGAAACTATTAAGACTGGCCTGCCAACGCATGTCACTAATACTACCAATCCCAGAATGCTTTGCTGCATTAACGCATCTGTCGAGACAGTAAAGCACCCCCTCCTTTAGTGTTGATGGTCAATTCTACCATAACGCTATCAGTATCAGTGAAAAAAAGGAGAAAGTGAAACAAAAAAACTTATCTCGAGAATCAAATGTTAGGGTTGGGGGACCTGGCTTGGCTTGGTGTCCTAAAGGAGAAAACATGTTGGGATCCACTAATCTAGAGTTCTCTTCAGGGAACCTTGGCTCTTCTTGGTAAAACATTTCAAATTGTATGATTACAAATATTTCTACCGTTTAAACCAGTTCTAGAGTTTCTAACAGTTTTACACTTATTTTAATTTCTTTACTTAATCAAACAAAAAAGTCTTTTTTGACCAAAAATCTTGCAGCAGTGCTTGGGTCTCCCACTGAGCTTCAAACACCTTTTCACCTTGTAGGATCTTTTGCTTATTTAACTTTACAGTATTTTGCCTGTAACTTATTCTCAGACTCAGTCATTACTGCCACACATCTACCTTTGTAATCTGCTGTCACTGTCTTTGTTGGTCCCTTTTTACCTCTACAATGTGTCTTTGGTACTTATTTTTCTGTCAGGTTTACAATGTTTCTCTTTTATACCCCTCCCCCCTGCTCTCTCTGCTTTTGTCCTACAGGCTTTCTGTGTTTGCTGAATTCTTCAATTACCTTTCACAAAATGCACAACTTTTATTGATATAGCAAAGCTGGGAGACGGGGAAAATGGCTGTATAAAAGCCCAAATGGCTTTCTTCTCGTTCTTTTTCTCTATACTCGTTTTCTTTGGACCATTTTTTGGCCATTGAGAAATTTTGCTGAAAAGCACCTTGTGGTGCTTTCTCTCAAATGAAAAAGCTTTTAGTTTAGCTTTTGGAGACTATTCAGTTCCAATAAACTGAACTCTGTCTGATAGTTTTCACTCCAGTTTCAGCCATTCTCCACGAATCATCATTTTGTCTCATTCCTCTTGTCTTCTCTGTCCCCCAGAAGGACGACGTGTCTCGTGCGACCTGCATTGTTCCAGAGAGTGGCAAAGAACAGCTGATGTTTGAGATACCCCTCAATGACAGCGGCTCCGCGGGACTCGGCATCAGCCTCAAAGGGAACAAGTCCAGGGAGACGGGGGAGGATCTGGGAATCTTCATCAAATCCATCATACATGGAGGGGCTGCATACAAGGTGACATGATGTTTTCTGTTGCGACCCAGAGTCTAGGAGTAGGATTGTTCCTTTGAGTGCAAGAGGTCCTGAGTGTTTTTTTCTTAGTAACCTTTATTTTAACAGGAAAAGTTCCCATTGGGAGTCCTGGCCAAGACAGCAGCTTTAAAAAAACAGTGCCAAAGAGTAAAAATACAAACATAAAACAAAGTATAACATACATCAAGTACATAACAAAAATTTACAAAACTTAACATAATGTCAACAAGCTTATTTGTAGCACTTTATTTCTCAACATATGTGCATCTGGTACATAAATGATCCTTTTATCCTGACTTTAAAATGAGACATGCTAAATGCATTTTCATCAAAAACTATTTGAGATCATTTGATTTCAAATGTAATGTAACTATGCATGCAGAGGTTGCAGCTTCCATTTGTGACCTATATGACCAGGAGGAACCATATGTAATATAGTTTTAAATAGAAAAATATAGCAGTCTTCCAACCTACGATTATGTAAGTAGGACCAACCCACTATATCATACAAATTACAGTGGTGAGTACGAAAACAAATCCTACTTCTTTTTGAGATACATATATGACATGCATATACAAAATGTCGTCATAATACAGCATTCGCCAAAATTGTATATCCTGGACCAGCCCCCAATTATTACAAACCCAGCTTGTTGGGCCATAACGTAAAGAAAAACAAAAACACCATGTAAAAATTATTCAAATTTAGTGGTAAGTAGCCACAAATACATTTGAAAATCAAAGGTTAAGTAAGGAGATGCAAACTGATCACAAATTAGGCAGTATACTTGTGGGGTGAGCAGAAAGAGAGATCTAAATACAAACACTCCAGGTCTTCAGGTGTTTTACATTACTCCAATCAGCCAGGTGTTCTGGTTAACCACAAATCAACCCGCAGTGTCGTACCATCTTTTTACTTTTTTCAGTAACACAAAAATCACTGTTCAAACATGTTGACATGGTTCAAAAAGTCAGATCAGAACAAAAATGACAAATAAATCACTAAATATACATACATCTCGGAATAGCAGAGGATCTTGTTATGGCTGATTCTATTCCTTGTGTTTCACCATTGACCTTTTATTTTAAAAGATGCACTTAACACAACATAGACTTAAGGCATCAGAGATGAACCAATGGAGTCTTTGGTGAAATGAGCTTTCCACTAGTATTTTTTGGTAAAAATGGAGCTGAGCTAAAATCCAAAGCTCTGGAATTACTGGTCTGTCTACTCTCCAACCCTCGCATATAGAATAGAATAGAATAGACCTTACTAATCCCACAGTGGCTGAAATGCACTTGCAGCAGTACATACACTTAGAGAAAAGGAAGAAGAAAGTAATAAGATTTACAGGTAAACAAACACAGGTAGTAAGCTAGTATCGTAACCTTCAACCACTAAAAACAACAAATAAAAAGTAAACATAAGGGATACAGACATACTAATGTACATCCGATATTGCACAAGTATTGAACACATACTTAATATTGCATTGATGTTATTGTGTAACAGAATAATGCCAGTACCAGTTAAACTGAGGAGTTGGTTATACTCAGTGCAGAGGAGATGAACGAACTACGGTTGCATCTGTTTTACTTCTGGGATGTCTCAGTCTGCTACTGAAGGAGCCGTCCATGGTCTCCACAGTGGAATGCAGTGGGTGGGAGAGATTTTCCAAGATGGAGGTCATCTTCCCCAGCATCCTCCTTTCACACATCTCCTCAACTGATATGATCAAGGGGTTTGGGATCTCTACCCAAAAAAAGAGATATTAGATACAAGTGGCTTAAACGCTTAGCCCTTCTGCCCTTTGGAAAACCTTGGGATCCTTCTAGTGGAAATGGAAACAAACAGTTTTAATATTTAGCAAACATATTATGCAGATCTGAAAGGTTGTCTGTTTGCAGGACGGCCGTCTGCATGTTAATGACCAGCTCATAGCGGTGAACGGAGAGTCGCTGCTGGGAGGATCCAATCATTCAGCCATGGAGACACTCCGCCGGTCGATGTCACAGGAAGGAAACACCAGAGGAACCATCCAGCTAGTGGTGCTGAGGGTGTTAAAGGTACATTCCCAGCCTCTGTTGCATCCAAAATTACACCACTTGCTTTTGGCTCCATTCATTGGTTTCACTCCAATTATTACAACATTTATCTGTTATTATTTATCAGTGATGCCCTGTGTTGTTATGTGTGGATATGGGGATTTTTGTAATTGTTTAGAATATTTTTAAGCGAGTGTGATAAAAAACATGTATATTTACTAATATGTTTAGGCTATAGAAACAAGTGTGAGACAAAACATGTTTCTGCTGTGAACATTTAAGAAAAAGGAAAACTAAAAGTAAAGCACACACACTCCATAATATATACCGTACACAGAAAACTAATAAACTACTTGCTGTTTGTGTGATCTTTGCTCTGATTTTTCTTTTTCTTTTTGTGAATTTCTGGAAATAATCCTGTTTTTTCTCCCTGAAGTCTATCCGCTCTGCCTCTCTCTGCACTTGCCATTCAGCCTTCGCTTCTATTCTTCACATTCTTGACACCAGTCTCTCCGCTCACTTCCTCACCAGCAGCAGCAAAAGAGCATTTTACACTTAAGCTGTTCAGATTTTGTATCTCTGAGTTCTTCTTTATGCGTGTGTGACAGAGTGTTCTTGACTCAGCTGTATCTTTTCTTCGTAGGATGAAAAAAAAGAAGCTTTTCATCTCATCTGCTTTTCAGATGATGCCTTTTAGAGAGCTATGGAGTCTATTTTCTGCAAGCTTCGTGCATTCACATAGCCAGGTGGCTGGAGCAAGAGTAAATGGCTCTTGAATGACCTCCTGGATAATGCAAAATTTGGGCCGTACAGTAGGGTTGTCACGGTATGAAAATTTAACCTCACGGTTATTGTGACCAAAATTATCACGGTTTTCGGTATTATCGCGGTATTTTTTAAACGGTGTTGCATATGTTCAGAAAGCATTGATAGTCCTGTTCTACACAAACTGAAATAGTTTTGAAAAGGTTTAACAGCGTTTATTAAACCTAAAATAACACAAAGCCTTAGCAAAAGTGCAACTTTTCACAAGTAAAGGAACAAATAGCTTATTTTTCTGGAACATGTTACAGTAGTCAGTGCAGGTTTAAATTATACAAATCCAAACATTCGAAACATAAACAATATGTAAACAAATCAAAGAAACACCACTTTTTTTCTCATATACTTGTTTTCTTCATTATCAAAATAAAAATCTAAAACTCCAGTCCACACTTGACTTGAGCACTGTACAAGTCAACCTTAAAAAATATGTATTTAAAATAAATATCCACTTTAAACAAATTACTAAAATAACTACTACACTATGTAATCAAATCCAAATGTTCAAGTATAAATGGCATTGAATAAGTAAACAAATCAATGACAAGGAACTAATTGTATATTTCTCTTCATCATCAACAAATAAGATGCTTCATCCAGCAACAGGGTGTCCGTGACACGGTTTAAATGCTGGCAGAGGGCGCTGCGGCTGCAGTATATAGTGACTCGTTGCGTTCTCCCTCAACCAAAAGTCCTCACGTCATGCATTTAAGCTAAAATGCTAATGTCAACTTACCTTGCACTGGCTGTAGAGACGTGGGTGATGGTCACTCAGATGTGCCATTAGATTCGAAGTGTTGCTGCCTTTTGCAGACACTTGTTTCCTGCACGTTCTGCAAACGGGATAGCAGTCTTCTATTAACTGTCCCTCAGCATTTTACAGAAATCCAAAATATGCCCATACTTCCGATTTAGTCTTCTTTGAGGGCTGATGGATGTCCTGGGCGCTGCCGTCTCCTCCTTCGGCCATTATTTCAGCTTCAAAGTTTTGGTGCCGTTGCAAACTAAAAAGTGCGTGTGCGCGCCGCGGGAACTTCAGCTGAAGCGACGGTGGCTGGTAAGGGTCACCGCGCTGAAACCGCGGCCACGGTAAACCCACCGAGATAATATAGTTTTTTAAAAACTGGACGGTTATTTTTATTGTCAACTTTTTTACCGGGGTTTACCGCTATACCGGTTACCGTGACAACCCTACCGTACAGTCAATTAAAACACACCCAAACGAAACAGACAGGTGTTAGCCTGGATAAACTATATACCGTAATTTCCGGACTGTAGAGCGCACCTCAAAATAAGCCGCGCCGGGCTAAAAGCCGCAGGTATCTACTGAATTGAAAACGTAGTTTAACTGAACGTAACTGAACTGATCAGTATCAAACAAAACAGAAAAGTTATTGATTAGTTTATTCATCGTCCTCCTGCACACTGAAACCACTGAAGTCATCATCTTCAGTGTCTCGGAGTTGAACAGCCTCCGAAGAGCTTCGTCACACACCTTTTCTGTGGCGATGTCAGTGTCGCTGTCCGTGTTGCTGTCATCATCCCGGGGTGAAGCTGGGAAAACAAGCAGCACCGTTTTACTGTGAAAAAAATCCTCCTGGGCGCTTTCCGTACCACTCCTTTAACCATTCCTTCATTAGACTTTCCAGCATCCATCCTTTCTGGTTGACTAAAGCTGCACCTCATTATAAGCCGCATGGTTCAAAGCGTGGGAAAAAGTAGCGGCTTATAGTCCGGAAAATACGGTATATCAATAAGAATTTTGCATAAAAGTCAAAAGACAAAACCTACGCTAACATTCAGAGAAACGCACAAAGGTAGAAAAAAGGCCTTTGAATAATCGTTTGATGCTTGTATTATTAAATGCAATTAACATTGGCCTTTGTATTTTGCAGAAAATAATCAAGTAAACTAAAATATTAAAAACACAAAGTATGCTTCAGCTAGCTAAATAAATTGCTGCCTAAACCAGGAGTCGAACCGGCGTCAGGACAAAGCAAAACAAGTTGCAAAGCAGATGCTTTAACCACTAGACCACCAAACCTAATCGAATGGTTGAATCGCTTAAGACTCATGTTGTACGCACGTTTTGTTGGAGTGGGCTTAAGCCTGGTTCATGCTTCTCCGTCAGCTCCGCAAGGGACAGACACGCACGGATTGACGGAAGCGTTTTGCACTTTTACTTCTCCGTCTCCTGGAGAGTGTTGCAAAGCAATTGCCCGGCAGGACAACAGAGGGCGTAGCGCTGTTCTGTGGTATCCTGTCATGTATCGGTCCAAGATCGTTTGTTTATATTGTGTTTTTTGTGTATATAAGAGACTTTTAACATGGACATATTTGTCTCTCATTCTCCCACCTCTTCATGCACTCCCCACCTCTAAACCCACGTTTCCTGTCATTTCCGTCCACAAATAAAACGCTTGCTGCGCATCTTTTCACTCCTCCAGTCACGGGAGGATGAAACTTTCATATTTTTAGAGTTTTTTCGCGAGGTATTCTTCAAGCTGCTCCGTGTCTGCCGCTAGTTAAACTCGGCTCTCTTTGCAATGGCGGCGCTGTAAACAACAGCGGAGTCCTGACCAATCACAAGCTTGCGTAATCCGTCTCGTTCGACGGATGTTTAAAAAAGTGGGCTAGACTCCGTACGTACTTGCGTGCCTGCCGGAGCCCTACGCAAGGACGGATAATGGCGTTGCGTGTCTCCGCACTGATGCAGATGGAGAAGCATAAATCAAGCTTCAGGCGGAGTGCCAGCGCTGTGTTCAAAGATGCTTTCTTCTCATTCGTTGCATGGTAGTGGCCCATGATGCTCTGTGGGTTACGTAATGAATGGGTGGAGCTCAGGCCGATGGAGGTGGAGTTGACTGCAACAGACCGTTGCAGACCGTTCCAGGAAAAAAGACAGGCTAAAATAAAATTACATTTCAATAGTGCCAACAGTTTTTATCATATACGGTGCTGACCTTTGCTCTCAGAGGTTTAAAATAGCATGATCTGACCCCTTTAATATATTTTGCGTAAACAATAAGTCAACAGAATAACAAAATAGAAACTGAGATTGTCCGTTTAGCTAGAAACTTGTTGCTTCTTCTCAAAGTTTCAGAAATAAAACATATCCTTAAAGATATTAATCTTTTCTCTCTAGTGTGATCCAAAAAGGTTACAATTTATTGTTCTTTCAAACTGTTTTGGTGGAGGTTTTTATCAGTTTTAGAGAAATCTGACCACTATAATACGAGTTACGTGCGTACGTGAGCTGAGAGCTAGGGATGGGGGACCCTGGATGAAGAATGACACATCCAGGCGAACCAGTGGGAGGGTGAGGTCAAAACTGAGATGACAAGGAGGAATTATTACACAAACATAGATACTGCTGTTATGTATTTGTTGTTTTAGATGAGGATTTATCCAATGCAGAGAGGCAAAATCACAAAGGAACACCAATGGCCTTGCATTACAAATTCACACAGATGGATGCATATTAATAACTGTGTGCATTAGCACTCTACACACACACAGAACAGAAATGCATGCAAATTCAGTCCCTACAGAAAGGATGCATCCCCAGAAAAGACACATCAACTCTGTAATCCAGTCTTTGTTTGAGAATTATGGGGCTCTCAGAGGGCTTTCCTAGGAGGAGGAAGTGTGACTGTAACTGCCACACACACACACACACACACACACACACACACACGCACACGCACACGCACGCACACACACACACACACACACACACACCAAAAAGTGACATGCTGTTAAATATGTTCTCTTAGAAAACACTTTAGATAATGAGAAAACTCCCACCTGTCTCTAACATCACTTTAGATCTAACACTAACGTCCATTTTTGCAATCAGCAAATCCCAATTTAACTGTTTGTTTTATCTTTTTAAAATCAGTTTTTGTTAACTTTGTGTTGAATACTGCACCAATGGTTTTGCTTTATTTCAGGATCAACATGAGACGTCACCCAATCGCTCATTTGACGGCTCAGCTGGCTCGTTTGGTCTGATCAGTCCGGCAAAAGGTCCATCACGATTGTTCAGTCTGGACTCCGTTCAGCCTCCCATGGTGGCAAACTCTCTCTACATCTCCAGTGGTGAGTTGTCAACCTAAGAGACGGAAACTAGCATTTTAATTGTTTCATCAGTATTTATGACTTTCATGAAACCTGTGTACATGTTTTTTTAATTATTATTTCTCTTTGAATCTTGTAGTAAGACACCTCAAATGCATCCCAAAACCTTCAAATACAACATATTTAATGAATATTTAAAATACAAACATCTACTCTAAAAAAGAGGAAAAAAGAAGATTTTGAATCTCAAATCAACAAACAAACAAATGTATTTCGTATGAATTAGAGGCAAAAACAGAGGAAAAAGAGCTATGTACACAGTATAAATATGAGCTCTAGCAGTTTTTCTTCAGGAACAAATGACATGTCTGCATTTTCCGGCAACAGACATGGAGTGGCACGTTATAAGGGACATTTTATTGTACAACTACCAACATTTAGCACAGAAAATATTTTCCTCTGAACTAGTAGTACCTACTGAATACTTTCGGTCAGTTTTGGTACGCAGCTCTACTGGTTACATGAAATGTGGAGAGTGCTGATGGTCTTTTGTTGATACAAATAATAATAATAATAAAAAAAAAAAAAAATAATAATAATAATAATAAAATGGCCTGTTTTCGATATAGCGCCTTCTAGAGTCCTGGGACCCCCCAAGGCACTTTACAACACAATCAGTCATTCACCCATTCACACACACATTCACACACTGGTGGGGATGAGCTACAATGTAGCCACAGCTGCCCTGGGGCGCACTGACAGAGGCGAGGCTGCCAAGCACAGGCGCCACTGGTCCCTCTGACCACCACCAGCAGGCAAGGGGGGTTAAGTGTGTTGCCCAAGGACACAATGACAGTAGCCACGTTTACATGCGCATATTTAATCGGATTGAATGCCCATTCAGATTGAAAATTCTGCATGTAAACATGTCAATCAGAATATTCTGATCCGATTCGGCCCGATCGGATTGAAATTTCAATCCGATTGAGAGAGGTGGTTTATTCCGTTCTTCATTCCGATTGACGTGCATGTGCACAGCCATTCGGATTGTTGGGGTAAAACAATGCCCACTGCGCATGTGTGCAACAGCCAGCGGGCCTCTCCGCTGTCATTTGGACTGCCTGACTTCAAAAATGACGGTGTAATTAACAAGCGGCGGCTTTTAAATCCGACAACAAGCCGTCCCGTTTCAGTAATATTTAATTCAGAACTTGCATTTTGTGGAAGTAAAATAAAAATCTGATTATTGCACAAATCATTCGACAAAGATGTTCAAATCTTTACTGGAAATACGCAGGTTTATCGTGGGGGTTGCAGCGCACGGATCCCCGTTTCTGTCAGCTTTGAACGCAGCAGCTTCTGCAGCAGGTGATGGAGACTCGCTTGTAAAGAACACAGGATAATCTGGGTTTTACAGACCTGATTGGAGGCTGATGTTGGGTAGGAAAACGTCATCGGTTAAATACTCTGGACGACAGTAAAGTCCGTGTTCGTTAAAAGCACGTAAACGCAGATGACCTGAGATGCGGTTCGTTAATGATGAACACAGGCTTCTAAACTTTCTGAACATCTTCTGTTATTTTGTTTGAACAGATTTTTCTCAACAGTTTCAGCTGATCATCACATGTTATTAATAATAAGCCACAACAGAGCTCAGTAATAAAACATGTGGCTAACCCCCCCCCCACCCCCCCCACCCCCCCCCCCGCTCTGTGCCGCAGCGCAGCGCAACAGCTGTCAATTCAGACCTGCGGACCAGCTGATCAAGAGGCAGACATAACCCTCCCTTATTTTAATCAACAATAAAATGCAGCAAAGCATATATCTGCAGTTATTCACTGAAGAAAACATAACTTCTATGAGCTAAATAAAAATATTAAATTGAATAAATGGATCAGGAAAGCAGGAAGAATAGTTATTTCTGTTTTTACATTTTTCTTTTCGTTTCATGGCGTTTGTTTACAATTTTTCTTTCGTGAAAGGCAACTCTGCGCATGCTCAACCTATTTAATCGGATTAAATGCTTGGTGCATATGTACGCACGGCATGATCGGATCATTTCAGTTCGTGTCCATGTGAACAGAGATTCGGAAATTCCGATCAACCAAGATTTCAATCGGATTGAGGAAATTAGGCACATGAAAACGCAGCTAGTGACAAACTGAGCGGGGCTCGAACCTGCAACCTTCTGATTACGGCACACTTAACTCCTGTGCCACTGTCGCCCCACAAGCTTATATAGTGCTTGTTTAGGACACTCAAAGACGCTTTCATGCACTCTCACATTCACACCCTGCTAGTGATGGTAAGCTACTTTGTAGCCACAGCCACCCTGGGGCAGTCTGACAGAGGCGAGGCTGCCATTTGGTGCCGTCGGCCCCTCTGACCATCACCACCACAGGCAAGTTGGATGAAGTGTCTTGCCCAAGGACACAACAGCAGAACACCCCTGGCAGGAGCTGGAATCAAACCCATAACCCTGCGATCATGAGGCAACCCGCTCTCCCACCTGAGCTACTGCTGCCCCAAATGAAATGATGCAAAAGTAATTTAACTAAAAAATAACTTCTGGCATGTTTATTTTTTGTTTGTTTGTTTTAGTATTTGGAGATCTCCCAGGATTTTTGCCATGCAAAAACACAAACATCTGGAGTTGCTTATGTGTTTCCAACTTCAAACATATCTGCAATAAAAACACACAATTTGAATAAGAAACAAAAGTAATATGATTTTTTAACAGTTCAAAATAAAACAGGATCTTTTGATTGGAAAATGAGCCCCTTTCAATTTTGTTGATACACAAACTTCAGCCGCTGTCATTCAGAGTATTTATTTATTTTTCATTAAAATGCAATTTAAAACCTCACTTCAGCCTTTCTTGTTTTGTAATAATCAGTTCATCATATTCAGAAACCTGACAAAGCTCTGAGCAAGCTTAATCATGAGCCCCAACATAAATAACATGTTTGAGATAAAATGACAACAAGATTGTCATGTGTGGCGCAGGAGGAGGTTAGAACCCAAGAGGCAGAACACCAGAACGACGCGAGGCAGAAGAGGTTTAAGAAAATAAAGCCCTTTTATTAAAGGAGGCTGGGCAAAAATCCAAAGGCAAAAACACTAACAAAAAGGCAAAACACAAGCTCACTCATGAGCAAAAGCAGGAGAACACTCGAGACGGACAAAACAACACTGACAAAGGCAATGGACCGACAAACACTGAGAGACACAGACAGGGTTATATACACAGAACTGGGTGATAGGAGACGAGGAGCAGGTGCGTGGGGAATTGGGCACAGATGAAACGAATGAACTGAGGGAAGAAGCAGAAATAAGCTGGGGAGAAAACCATATCTAAATCCTAAACCAAAGCTACTAAAATAACCTGAACTTTAAACACTGTAGAACAAAGACTAAAGATAAATAAACTAATGATAAGTGACATGACTAAAGGGAAGCCTGAAGAAGCTGGGGACCAAAAGGGGGGCACAGAAGATTAGGGGACACATGAGGGAACCTGGAGGGGGCTGGGGAACACAGGGAGACAGAATCTGACAAAGATGGTTATTGGCACCTACAATACTGAAGTCCTCTGGCCCTGATGTCTGCATTATCTTGTTGCCTCGATCCCTCGTTGGGTTTTACAGTTTGAATGCTGTAAATTTCTCTATAGTTAGTTTATTATTCTGCTTCTGTACGTTTTTTGGCATTTAACTACTTCCACAATTCTTCAAAAATTTACACAATTTTGGTATCAAAACGTTCAGCTCATTCAGCTTATGCCGGCAATGACTTTTGGAATTAGAATATTTTATACTTTTTGAGATATTCCGCCTTTTCTGTGATCTTTGGTCCCATTGAAATTAATGGGATTGCTCAATTTTCAGCTAAATCCTATCACTTTTTTGAACTCTTATTCTTATAGGTTAACTTTAACCTAGAGACTTATTTCAAGTTTCAACAAACTCACAAGACTTTCAGCTATTACTGGTTAAAAAATCTTTTTGATATCTATTACAGTTTTTCTAAAATCACAGGTAGAAGTTATGTTATGGCTTGAGTTTTTCAGAAAACATCACAAAAATTATAATGGGCAGAGATAGGAGCAACGACCCTCCTTTGCTCCAGTTCCGGCATTGTCCTGAAAAAAACGTCAATTAAAAAAAAAAAAAAAAGCCATTTGAAATGAGACTCATGCTGGCTTGCAGCTAACGGATATACCTTCGGTTTGAGCTATAAATCATGAATGTACTCCAAACATTGTGGCCGTTTTGTTCATTTCTTTGAGAATATTAAAAATGAAAAGAATGTCTCTCACCACTCTAAACTGAAAATTCCACACTCTTAACTTTTGACCTTCACATTTTCTGGAAATAACTCTTTGCAACACCCAGACCGTTTGGAGTACCGAAACAAATCATATCTCAAAAAGTAGGAATTTTTGTCAGCTTTTCAGAATGGGTTTCATTTTGTCCTTAGTTGTTACATTTCTTTCTCTACAAATCTTAGAACGAGGAGAGACCCTGATTCTGTGTCATTGAAACCCATGTTAAAGGAACAGAGATTTTCTCCTCCGATCGGATTCAGACAGTTAAAATGTTCTCATCATAGCTTCTAGACAATTCATGGTAGGCACATAAAAAATCACACAGATGACCACCAAAGCCTTCTGCCGCTCACGCTTTTTGAAATTTTCCAATAGGCGCAGCAGTTTTTGAATGGCGATAAGACGTGTCAGTGGTCTGAAATGACATCTGAGCAGCTGAGCACTGTTAAATGCATGACAAATGAAATATTGACACAAAAATTTCCACCGACCACATCTTTTATAGTACACTAAGAATACTCTCAAATTTGTTAGGTTATTTTCTCAGCTTCAAAGTGATGTCTTCGGTTTTGCTGTTGGTATTACATTTTCTGTGCTACAAGCCCCAGAAGGAGGACTGTGCCAGCTTTCCTCCATTTAAACCCCTATAAATAAAGGCACCTGTGGCCGAGAGACAGCTGAAATATTCTCCTCA